ACCAGCCTCTTTTGTGACCATTAGTTGGACAGCATGTCAAATTAACTTGATTATTCTTGATTGATTAGCCATTAAACATACAGTAAATCGGACTCTGTGAGAGAATGTTGATCTGATATTCAGCCGTGAAGCAGTTTGAGGGATTAAGGAGACAGTTTCAGAATGCAAATGAACGCAACTTCCACGGCAGCAGCTTTTGATCTGCACACAGGGAAGTGCTTGTTTGTGTGTGTGTGTGTGTGTGTGTGTGGGGCATCTGGCAGTCAATAGCTGCCACATCTGTCTCATATTACCATAAGGGCAACTTTAACATCCACAGAGGCCGACAGACAGATGGTAGCCAGCATTTCTTTTACACTCAAACAGAATTAAATGTAACCTCTCTCACCTTCCCATTCTCCCTTCTGCCTGTCTCTTTATACCTTGATGCCAGGTGTAACCGGCTGTTCGTGCTGAAAAACGTCCTGTGATTAATCACTTCAGCTGTATTGCACACATTCTCATCACCGGTTGCAATGCTGACAGAAATGTCATCTGTAATCTTCAACCCCTCAGTTATGATTTAAATGAATCTGGTCCAAATTTTCCATGTCACCTGTTGCCTTTGGATTGCAACATTACTGGGGCAGTGAAGTGAAGTGAAATTAAACGGGTCACCAAAAAAAAAGAGGAAAAAAATTCTGTAATCTTGTCTCACTTAATGAGCTTGAATTTAGTGTTTGAAAACCTTACATTTTGTTCACTCAAAAATGAAGATTGTCATTTCCCAACCTCATGTGCTTTCTTCCATAAACGATGAACACAAAATCTTTTTCATGCAGTTACAATAAATGGAGACTAAAGCTTTCAAATGGCAAAAAAGCACCCAAAAATCATAATTGTGGTCAATGGCTTCTGTACAGTATTCTAAGTCTTCTATCGCCATAAAAAGACCAAAATTGTTTTTTGTTTAAGGTATAGCAGAGTGTACAAAAATTTTTTGCTGTGCAATTATGTTGTGTTGCTGTGAGTCCTCTGTTTTGTTGTGTAAGAGAGTGGTATTGATCTTTGTGAGGGTTCAGGTTTGTCTTGGTGAAGTGATATATGGGGCGGTGGTTCTTTTAGTAAGACTTTTCAAGTTAATTTTGTTTCTCCAGGTCAGACCAACACAGACGCATATGTCTGCACGTACACACTGTGTTCCCAGACCTCCCAAAGACTGAAAATAAAATGCCTCCTAAATCTAATTCAGCAGAACAAATAAACAGAGGAAGAGGAACACGACCAAATCCAGCTGCTTATAAAATCAGACAAAAAAAAAAAAAACCCAGACACCCCTACAGTCTTTTCTTTAAAGACTCCAGACTTCTTTATGAACTAATGTGCTTTTAATTTGAAGTTATCACACTGGTTCCCGTTATTGATCTCTCTGTCCATCTGTCTGTTCGTTTCCATCTCTTGCTTGCTTTCTCTCTAATTCTCTGCCTCTGATTTGGATCTATTAATGGTGGTCAAAATCTTTGAAATCACAAAGTCTTCCGAGCTAGAGATGGCTCTGGCTTACTCTGGCTTATTTGGCAGCATGTCTTCCTGGATAGATGTGGGGACTGAATATATACTATATTTATATGCTTTATTCACAAATAAAACACATTAATATTATTCTGTTATATTTATGAAAGTATGCTTTCCATTTACCTTATTGTCTGTTATGATACAATACAATACACTGTACAATACAATTAATATTTACAATGAATTATTTCAGAATTAAAATAATATAAATAATTGGCTATTATCTTTATCCTACCTATATAATTTCCATATCAGTGGATTCCTACCCCTATCCAATACTCTTTCTCTCTCGCTCTATGTCTCTTTTCTCTGAGGCACTCAACTAGCTCTCTCCGTAAAGCCTTATTAAATCTATTAGTGTTAACCTTGCAAATTCTCTCAGTGGCATTTAGTGCATTTGAGGGACAGCAGGAGTCTGAAATCTTTGTCCTCTAGTGTTAAAGGGATAGTTCACCCAAAAATGAAAATTAGCCCTTTATTTACTCACCCTCAGGGCATATCTGACATTCCTCTTTCAGACGAACACAATCGCAGTTATATTTAAAATTGCAAGCTGTATAATGGCAGTGAATGGTGCCCCTGTTTTTGAAGCCTAAAAAACTGAATATATCCATCATAAAACTGCTCCACACGGCTCCGGGGTGTTAATAAAGGCCTTCTGAAGCAAAACGATGCGTTAGTGTAAGAAAAATATCGATTTTTAAAAATGTATAAACCGTAATCTCCAGCTTCCGGTCGCTCAAGTGGGTGCATACACGACAAGGTGTTCGAGCGTATGACGTACACTCTTAAAAATAAAGGTGCTTCACGATGCCATAGAAGAACCTTTTTGTCTAAATGGTTCCATAAAGAACCTTTAACATCTGAAGAACCTTTCTGTTTCACAAAAGGTTCTTTGTGGCGAAAAAAGGTTCTTCAGATTGCAAAAAGGTAAGAAAGAGATGGTTCTTTAAAGAACCTTTGACTGAATGGTTCTTTGTGGAACCAAAAATGGTTATTCTATGGCATCGCTTGAAGAACCTTTTGAAGCACTTTTATTTTTAAGAGTGTAGGCATAGCGGAAGGCACAACGTAAGCTTCGGGGAGAAGAGTGTAGTCTCGCGAGAACCAAGTTTTGTTTACAGCACAGGGAAACCACGTGAACTACATCTGTAGTTTGTGCCGCCGCCGCCGCCGCTGCAGCCTCTTCCATCTCGCAGAGTTCCTGGTCGGTATACTCCGGTTCAAACAAATATGGCTGGGCAAAAAACTCATTCTCCTCTTGCCTTATATCGAAATCCTCCGACATTTTTCACTCAGAATCTTCGTTTTGTAGTACTAGATCGTGACAGGTGTTTTGTTTTGCTTTCTCCTCTGTGCCTTGCATTCGTCACTCTCTCCCCGGAGCTTACATTGCGCCTTCCGCTACGCCTACGTCATACGCTCGAACACCTTGTCGTGAACACGCCCGCTTGAGCGACCGGAAGCTGGAGATTACGGTTTATGCATTTTTAAAAATCGATATTTTTCTTACACTGATGCATCGTTTTGCGTCAGAAGGCCTTTATTAACACCCCGGAGCCGTGTGGAGCAGTTTTATGATGGATAGATTCAGTTTTTTAAGCTTCAAAAACAGGGGCACCGTTCACTGCCATTATACATCTTGGAAGAGCCAGGACAATTTTAAATATAACTGCGATTGTGTTCGTCTGAAAGAGGAATGTCAGATACGCCTAGGATGCCCTGAGGGTGAGTAAATCATGGGCTAATTTTCATTTTTGGGTGAGCTATCCCTTTAAGGATGTGATTATCTGATTGATAGGTGTGAATTAGCCATCACACAGAGCTTTAAGATTTCAACACAAGTTGTTTTTCATCATCAACTTGTACTGCATAGTGCTTGTGTGCTTTTTTTCCAAACCATCTGAAGTCTGTTTATTAGTTTTAGTTTCTGAAGGCAACTTTTAAGAACAGAATTTCTTCAACACTACAGTTTTATTATTGATTTCTTTCTGTTGTTCTCACGCTGGTGATTTGTCTCTGAACTGTCTCAATAGCGAACTTCAGCACTAAGGCTAATATACAATTCAGTAGTTTTAGCGGTTTTTACAGAAATGTAAGTTGGAAGGTTAGAATGTATGTTATTTATGATATTATTTTCTTTGATCTTTCTGAATACTTGTTCTTCATGAATCTGCTTTACTATTCATCTTATGCGCTCTACATATTTCATACACACACAGGTTAAGAATCAGGTTATTTTTACCATTAATTTACTTATGTGTTATATATGAAAGTCAAACATCAGGAATTTATCCCCATAATGCTGTTTTGCCCCCTTATAGAAGCTTTGCCCAGTAATCTGAGAGACAGAAAGGCATATATCTGGAGATTTTATGTTCTTATCGGTAAAGAGAATAAATGACCTTTGAATTAAGTTACCACTGAATCATAAATAATTGATGAGCTTTTGAAGACAGATATGTTTGAACAGTCTGATAGCTTTTTAGAGACAAGGGTTTTAGAGCAATTACAGTCAAGCTACCTAGTTACAGACTAGTGACATCCATTCCCTCTCTCTCTCTCTCACTCACTCGTTAAATATAATAGTATATTGCCATCTGCTGTTTCAAATGTGTAGTGCACTGTTTCACTTTAATCACAGGTGAGGGCTGCCTGTCTATATTTTTTGTGTACGTGTTGGATTCTGTACACACACACACACACACATATATACATACATACATACATATGTATATGTGTGTATATATATATATATATATATATATATATATATATATATATATATATATAGAAAAAA